TTTATAGTCAACAGAATATAAGTCCTATTTGGGCGGGAGAGGGTGGTGAGTTGTACTCATTTGTGTGTGTGTGTGTGTGAGAGAGAGAGCAGCGATAATATTGCAACAAAATGCGCACAAACGAATACCAACAAATGAGGAACACTGACTGTGAGTTCAAGGGTTGACAGATAACAAGTGTAATGATAAAATAAACAGCCTTAATTGCGGACTGTAATAAAATACTAGAGACAATGATAAGCAGCTTACAAGTCTCCAGACAGTAGCTGTCACGTTTATCTGCGTTGATACATGATAAGGATAATAATGGAGTAAAGTGACCTAGATGAAAAGGAAGGAATAAGATAGGCATAATACAACATGAAAATATGATATGATTATGTCTCTGATGTCGTTGTTGTTTATCTAGTATTCTACGAATTGATGTAATAATGCCAATAAAGATAAACAAAATGATGTTTTTAAGGGTAGAGTTGAAGTGGGTGAATTAGAAAACTTTAAAAAATTATTACATAAGTGAATTGGTGTTAACATTTCCAAATAGCTGGTCAAGTGTTGGCTTCAAATAGAAGTTAGGCTAATGATTACTGTATGGCCGTCTGTCCTGCTAGACCCGAGCTTTGGCCAGCCACACTGCCCATCTGCTGACTCTTAAGCCCGCCACACATAACCTGGTGGCCGAAGCATACTTAATACCACCCGAGATATTGAAGGGAGAATTCGATACTTGCGGATCCTCAAAGGTGTGTTTATTATTAACGATGTTATGGAGCCAGTATACTTATCATCAATACGTGAAAACATCCACGTCGAAGGCATTATAAGCTGTGCACATCGACACAAATACAGACTTTTCACGGTGATACTACACACCAGCTGCTCAGGTTGAATGAAGCAGGGTTAAGTGGTGGCTGGATTCAAGTGTATGCACCCATCTGCTGGAAGTCGTCAGCTCAATCCAGTCAGCCGTATTTCTACAAGGCGCTCACCTACTTACTTACCTACCTGCCCAAACCTTATCAATCAGGATAACAACACATCTGTATGGCAGCATAGCATGCTACCCACTTTCAGTCTGGTGAATGGATATCCTCCAAGATTTATCGAGAAAAACAGATCACTGAGGAAAGCCTTCTCTATGACTGAGCTACGTATCAATTTCTACAGCCGACAAATGTTCCACGGATGTGTGGAGGATAAACTGCCGCTTTAGGCCACTTCAATGTGTGCTTATAAGTTCACCTTCTCGTGTGGAGCACACACTTTCCAAAAGCATCGCTGAACATTATCTGGCATGGTTAGCAAAAGGAAAATGCAAGACAATTACTAGTTCAATTCTCGAGCACTTGCTGAACTCAGGCCACGCAGCTCCACTAGAGTCGTCTTTCAAGATCATCTACAAGGTGAGGCCAGATGGTATAAAGGGCATCAGGTTTCGGCTTTTGTGTATGGCGGAGGCGCTGGCAATTCGTCAATACAACCCCGAACTCTGTATACAGGAAAAGTTTGTCTAGTCTCTTATTCTACCTTGGTCTTAACCTCTTCACTAGTCGTTCCCTTTAAAACATTTTGATTTTTTTTCTTTTCCTTCTTTAATTTTTAATTTTACTTTTAGTTTGCTTTTGCTTTAATAATTAATTCACTATTTTTACTCTCATATGTTCCTTTTGTACATTTTCACACCCTCTTCACACTTGTTAAATTGACACTCAACTGCCTTTATTCTCACTCAATAGCAATTTTAACCTTATCAAATTTCTATCTTTGTGCCGTTGAGTACCACATAATGTATAACTTAGTTTTTTACTTCTAAAGACACCTCCGAGTAATTATATCAACTGTGTCACCATCTATTACTCAATAATAGACCACTATACATTTTTTGGTAAGTATAAATATGACTGCACAGCCTCTGAAGATGATTTCGTCGATAAAGAAAATTTTCTTCGCTGAATTTTTCTTACATATATCAAAGCCTATCACTCGTGATTGACCTGTTCGTTCTCAGACAATCTTCTAGATCTTCATAGGTTGCAGTTGAGCATTGAAGAGTTGAAGATTTCATCTATATATTTCTTATGCTTACGCAGAATCGAGATACATTTTCACCCTGGACGATTGCCTAAGCTCGTTGTGAAGACGTTCTCTAGGAGAAGTCCTAAACGATACTCCATGGCTACTCCATCCATTTTATTGTAGAAGACATCTTTAAAACTAAACTGCGCATTAAGCGTGCATCTCAACAAAAGCCGCTTTACAAAGTTAGTTGGCAATCCAATTTTAATGCTTTTAAGATCAGTGTAACCCCATAAATGACATGGTTTCTACTAGTGGTATAGTTGAAAACATCTAATGACATCATACACTTACCGGTCACATGAATTCCATCAAGGTAACTCACGGAGTCAAGAGTGTCCTAAAGATAATGTTTCCTTAGATTTGGTCTCGTTGGCTCGCTGAAATTCTCAGAACCGTCCTCAGCCAAATCATAGTACTAGAGAAGAAACTGTTCATGAGTTCGGTGTTCAGGTGTGTCGCTTTCACTGCAGTGAGTAAATATCGTTCATCCAAATATATTAAACGCTACTTTTATACAGCGTTTTGGCATTTAACATTTACCAGCCGAGATATAGTTTGACACTACCTCAAGGATAAACTCGAACTTATGTCCACCTGAATGTGCACATACACACGCCCGTATGGAGCTGATTACATTGGACGTTGTGAGCGTGTTCTTCGTAACCACGTGACTGAACACCACCGGGTTTGGTTGGTGAAAGGCGAGCATACAATGACGAAGTCTTCACTTTGTGAGCACTTTGTGGAGTCATGTCATTCAGCCTCATGTGATTTATCCTTCGAAGTTATTTACAGGACCATATCCAAGCACTCCAAAAGCTTACATCTTCTCCACGTATACTTAGCCGGAGCTCTAGCTATATATGGAAGCAAACTTAAATTGTGTTCGAAAAACGATTTGCTAATCGCCTTTCTTCACCTTAGTCATAGTAATGTCCTCTTATTTCATCCAATTTTACATATGTATACATATATATATGTATATATGATTTTCAAGAAATTATATCGGGTGAGGGAATTGAGTCAAAGGTGTGAATATATGAAGTAAAAACAGTAGTATGAAATGCAATTAAAATGTTTGTGATTTCAATCATAGTTAAACGTCAAGTGGCAAAACAATTAATATCATACATAGAACAACTCATAGGATGTATAGAACTTGCTAGGAGTATGGAATTGTAGGTTTAGTAGGCGAATCGAATAAAAATAAAAAGGTTACGTAACATTGTGTGAAATCTGATAGCATAGAATTTAACGTTGGAAAACAGAATTGATTTAGAATGACAAGTGGAACGAGTGAAATAATACCGGGCTCAGTTCAAAGTGAGAATAGTAATGGTAAGAATTGACACAATAAAGGAAGAGTATACAGATTGAATTGACACAGGGAGAAATTTGGTAGAGCCAAAGTATGATTAGAGATTACCATACTTTTGCATAGAGGGATTAAGCCCATGAAAGTTGGAGGGGTTGAACGAACTTTTTCTGTATACAGAAATCTGGCTTTTCTGTTTCGATAGCCAAGGCTTCAGCAATACAGATGAGTCGGGTATGTAGTGATTAGGGTGAATTACTGTTTTATCGATATAAGTATAATACTTTGGCACCGTGGTAGAGTATAACTCCATTATAGATAAGATTTTATTTTGATAGATTACACAGTGTTATACAGTAATATTAACTGATGCCGTTTCGAGCACAAACTATTGCTCATAATCATATCAAGTCACTACTGTTTGCCTTGTAGATGACTTTAAAGGCGGAGGCTGTAGAGATGTTCAATGATCGTGCCTATTATTCCTCCACTTCCACCTCTTCGTAACCAGGCAGGACAGTGTTCTTGCAGCCTTTTCGACAAAACTCGAGTCGAACGACCGATATACATAGCTCCACATGAGCAGGTGAATTGATAAATGCACATAGAGTTGGTCAACAGTGGGATCTTGTCCTTCAGGCTATTGAAAAGTAATGCTCGACTGATAAAGACTATTCTCAAACATGCAGCAGAGGATGTTCTTTTCAGGGACTGTGAGATCCTTCTTTTCATGATATCGGAAGCTAGGTAGCCTTTGAATTCTAAGCTCATGTATAGTATTTTCTCGGGTACGGATGATAAATCACATTTCACACGGTTTGGCTGTATATTCCTGCATATAAAACGTAGTGGAAATCCATTTTCTGTTAGGATTTTGCTCCAAAGATTTAACTCATCCTCCACAGTATCAGGGCTACATATGCGCCGAACGCGAGTGGCAAGCTACCGGATCAGGTTTCGCTCCTCTGTGAACTATATGTTCATGGATTAACCTCCTATCTCAGGAGTTAGCTTTATTATCAAGCCAATAATATTAGAACAATTTAGTGCATGATTTGTCAGATAATCAGTATATTTCCATAATTTTCCACAAGAATAGATGCATTCTTGTGATACATGTACAGGACCTAGAATCCATGACGAGCTACTACAAGCTATAGACGTAGGCGGATGGAAGCAGTGCGTACGCCTCCCTACAAGAAACAAAAATACTCTTGACTTAATCCTCTGTTATGAAATAGAGCCCATCTCGATAGAGGTAGGAAATAAACTCGATAACAGTGATCACAACATATTATACTGCACGCTACCCCTCCGACTAACAACTAAATACACACCTAAAAATTCCCCGGTGCACTATCAATATAGGGACTATGAGAATGCTGATTGGGAATTCCTATCAGATCTGTTGAGAAGTTCTGACTGGGAAGAATACTTCATCAACAATAACTTAGAAGTATCACTTGAGATTTTCTACAAAACAATTGGCTCAGCAAGAGATACAATCGCGCCCCTAAAATCTGCTCTAAAGACAATAACTCCATTTATAGACCGCAAAACGCGACTAAAACTAAAGAAATTGAAAAGGAAATACCATGTATTTAAGGAGTTTAATGCGTTAAACCAAATACATGAAACTCTTAAACTGCTTGAAGAGAAACACAAAATGATATCACAACTTGAAGAGAAAAAAGCACTTGTGGGTAACACCAAAACTCAGGAACTTTGTAGGATATTGCAGAAACGTCTAAAAAGCAGTAAAGACAATAATGTAAGCAGCTTGCAACATAAGGGTATAATATACAATGATCCCCAGGTTATAAGTGAACTCCTCAGTGAGTGGTTTTGCAATGACACCAGAGTGCACCCGACCCCAAATTTCCAAATGACCTGCAAAAGTAACCACAAATTAGACGAAAAGACTTTAATATACAAAATATAGACTCAGCGATTAAGACTATTGAAGTCTAATGGTAGTACTGGAACAGACGACATACCATCTGTCATATACAAAAATGGTAGCACGGAAATGGTAGTCTTGTTACTTAGAATATTTACTCTCTCGCTGGAAACTGGAACTTATCCTGAAGTGTGGAGATCCACATACATATTACCTAAGCACAAAGCAGGGGCCAAAACCAGTGCATGCAACTATGGACCTATCAATATAACACCGGTAATATCACGAATAATGGAGAAAGTGGTTAAAGACCAAGTGTCAGACAACCTACTAGAACATGAACTTATCAATCCATCACAACACGGATTCCTCAAAAAGAGATCATGTGTGACCTGTCACATAGACTTTTTCAACGAAGTTACACGAAGTAGGGACAACAGAGAACTAGTAATTGTGCTATATTTCGATGTAACAAAAGCCTTCCACAGAGTTCCCCATAATCTGCTAGTCAGCAGGTTATGCTCACTAGGGATATGTGACCCTCTCCTGAGCTAGATAAAATCATTTCTCTGTGGCCGAAGTCAGACAAGGAAAGTTGGCTCGATAATCTCAAGGCCTAAACCAGTAAGTAGTGGTGTAATCCAGGGAAGTGTATTAGGCCCACTCCTATTCATAATGTATATATAAACAATATCTGTGAATGCTTTAGTGTAGGTAAACCAATACTTTATGCAGATGACTTAAAAGTGACGTATAAATGCAAGAACACACATCTTGGAATAACAGTAAACGCCATACAGCAAGAATTAGAAAAAATGGATAGATGGTATCACACCTGGAATCTCCAATTTAATGTCGAAAAAGGTGGCTGGCTCTGCATAGGTTGCAACAACTTAGAACTTGACCTGACAATTCAAGGCCATGCACTTCTACGACTGGAATCTGTACTGGACCTAGGGCTGAAATATTCACACGGCTTATCATTTTCTGAACATATCTCCAAACAAGTGTCAAAGTCACGCAGACTTATCGGCTTTCTACTCAGGAACTTCTACAGAAATGAGTCTAGAATTCTGTTGTACAAGGTTTGTGTGCATCCTTTATTTGATTACTGTTCATTCGTGTATAGTAGTATACGCATAGAGGACAAATTGAAAGTCGAGGGAGTGCAGAGGTACTTCACGTTAAAATTACTCGGAACCGAAAATGGTGCGAACTACTCCACTAGATGTGATACCCTAGGACTAGAAACACTATGGCTAAGACGCCTGAGACTAAACTTAACACTTTACTATAGGCTTCTAAACCACTTAGTTTTTACCTCTACTAATGGCACTCGACTTTCAGATGACAATGGCTACAAGCTAAGACACACTAAGGATACAGTAGCTGTCGAACAATGTAAAACAGCCAACAGGCAAAAGTTTTACTTGATTAGGTACGCACAGATACGGAATAAACTACCAATGGAAATGCGTCAAGCAGGTACATTGGCCTCCTTCGAAAAGGTGCTTAATGACAAACTACAAGAGTTTGCAAACGATAGTAGTTCTAGTTCCTATCTGAGAGCCTCCGAAATTATAGGCCCATTTAATGTATAAGCTTAAATACTACACATGTTGTTTTTTGCCTATATTTATAATTCTAGATAAAACATTAACGGTTAAGATACGTACCCTCGAACAGACAAGAAATTTCGTTTGTAAAACTTCTACTCAACACAATAAGTGAAATGAAATGGACATAAACCGACAACATGAAAAAGGTATAACTCACCACAACATCACATGGATAGATGTACGCTCGTTGGCCACCATATTTACCTCACCAACTACAACCCACCTTTCCTAAGATAACGTGATGAACTTATATCCATAATATTGCTCAGCAGTTAATATTCTCAACTCCTGTCGGAACAGCTGAAATTCATAAACCTTCCTCACGCTAAGAAAATACCCACGAGCAGTAGAAATCCACTAATCAATGCGTCCAAAGCTTTTGTATATTTACTCCCAACAATGACATTGCAGATCACTGATTTCAAAATAACACACCAATGAACTATAATTCAAGGATTCTGTACACAACAAAGTTATATATGAAAGTTGACTTCAAGCTTTATTTTTTTCCCAGGCACTTATAATCCATCCACCAAAGACCTCGTTTTTCTGTTAATGCGAAGACAATACTCCTGTATTTCCTGATGTGTTGCACTCACTGATAATCTAGCAAATTTTTCCAACTGTGCACAGAAATGATTGTATATAAGTGGAAAGGCTGTTTTATACTACTGGGAGTAACATTTATCAAGTGTATGTGTAATCTCCAGCGAACATGTAAAGCATATCTTGCTACTGCCTGTAAATTGTGATTGAATTATATGACGTCCCTCATGTACTGTACTATGAGAATAAATTCATTAATTTATCTATTATAACCGCCATTCTTGGCTAAGATTTCTGGTGCAGGCTTTTCGGCTATATTTTTCGACAATTTCCTGAACATCAGGAGAACTACTGCCCCTGGGAAGGTATACACGCGAAGAAGAGCTTAAGGCGTCTTTCCGTTTCTGGGTGAACACTGGACGGCTACTGAAGGATATGAAGAGATGCGAAGAGTAGGGTTTTCTTTATCGCTTTGGCTAAACATTGCGATAGAATCTCTCCTTCGTTAGTAAGACGACGAGGAACTGCAGCAGGGTGTCGTTGTATTCTCCTTCGCAGGTGAAATGGACCGTTATGTGAGTACTGTTGAAGTGGCTCACAATCAAATCACGTGTACGTAACCCTTCATCGCACACAACAAGAGTGTCATCCATCCATGTAACGACAATTCATTCCTATTCTTGCTATCTCATCTTTCAGCGGACTGTTCTCTGGTTTTGCTAGAAATAAGTTAGCGAAAATAGGTCCTAGTCAGGATCCCATGGCCACTCAATAAACTGGAGGGCGATCGTGACACTACGCTTCACTAACTGGTCATGCAAGGGTTGAATTGGCTGTATCCGCCACTTTGACGTCTGGTGACCAAGTGATTGACACATGTCTCATATGGGACATGAGGGAACTCCTGATTTATGCTCTTTCGGCAGACAACCGTACTTGTGTGAAACGCTGTCCCCCCTGAGAGTTAGGTTTCCGTGTGCTTTTGGTGAAACATACCCTTCACCTTTTAAATCCTTCACTGCGTTTGTCACATCTCCCCCGACCACTTCAGTCTGATCATTCATCATAAGTTACGGCTTCTCAAACTCGCTGCCGCCGTCCTCTGGTGTGGAGTTCATCTAGTTTATATCATAATCATGCTCCTCTACTCCTCCCTACACAGCGTGAAGTACCTCTGTACTCCTTCTACTTTTAGTTTGTCTTCTATGCGTATACTACTAAATATGAATGAACAATAGTCTAGGAGTGGGCGCACACAAACCTTGTACAGTAGTATTCTGGATTCACTTCTGTAAACGTTCCCGAGTAGGAAACCAATAATCCTGCGTGATTTCGATACTTGTTTCGAGATATGTGCAGAAAATGATAGATTGTGTGAATATGCCTGTCCTAGGTCTAGCACAGATTTGAGTCTAGGGATTTTGTGGCCCTGAATAGCTAGGTTGAGTTCTAGGTTGGGGCAGCCTATGCAGAGCCAGCCACACTTTTCGACATTAAACTCAAGTCTCCAGGTGTCACACCATATATCCATTTTTGTTAATTCTTCATGAATGTAGTTCATAGTTGTACCAATATCTGTGTTTGCTCAGGTATATGTCACCTTTAAGTCATCTGCATACAGTATTGGCTTGCCTATACCAAAGCACTCACATATACTGTTTATGTATATAATGAAAAGAAGGGGTCCCAATACACTCCCCTGGATGACACCACTGCTAATCGGCCTAGGCCTGGAGGTCATCGAGCCAATTTTTGTTGTCTGATTTCTGTCACTGAGAAATGATTTTATCCAGTTGTGGAGGGGGTTGCGTATCCCTAGTGAGCATAGCCTGCTGACTAACAGACTATGTGGGACTCTGTCGAAGGCTTTCCTGATATCGAAATAGAGGATAATTACTAGTTCTCTCCTATCTCTTCTATAGGTGACTTGGTTGAAAAAGTCTATATGCCAAGTGACGCAAGATCTTTTCTTAAGGAATCCGTGTTGTGACTGCTTGATGAGTTTGTGTTGTAGAAAGTAGTCTGACATTTGGTCTTTGATTACTTTCTCCATGATCCTTGATATGACAGGTGTTATATTGATAGGCCTATAATTACATGCACTAGTTTTGGCCCCTCCTTTATGCTTAGGTAGTATATACGTGTTTTTCCAAGTTTCAGGGTAGGTCCCAGTCACTAGTGAGAGGGTGAATATTCTAGGTAATAGTACTATCATATACCATCTATCATATGCAAAAACGGTGGCTCGGATATCATCTATCCCACAACTACCGTTAGCTTTTAATGTCTTTACCGCTGATGCTATATTTTGTATATTAAAGTTGATTTCACCTAACTCGTAGTTATTTTTGCAGGTTATGTCGAGGATTGGAGACGGATGCGCTTTGGTGTTATTGGAGAACCATTGGTTTAGGAGTTCACGAGTAATCTGGGGATCATCATAAATCAGTAGATATTATTTTATAACACTGTGGGACTTTATCAAAATAAAATTTACCCATAATGGAATTACACTCTACCACAGTGCGCAAGTTTTATTCTTTTATCATCATAAATTATTCCTTCATGCTCAAGGTGGCCAACATTATTGTCTTTACCCTTGTTTAGTCGTTTTTGCAAGATCTTGCAGAGTTCCTGAGGTGCCTCCTAGGACTTCATTTTCCTCGAGTTGTGCCTTCATTCTATGTCTCTCCTCAAGATTTTTAAATGTTTCATGTATCTGGTGTAATGCACTAAATTCTTTATATAAATAAAATTTCCTTTTCAATTTCCTTAGTTTTAATCGCGTTTTGCGGTCTATGAAAAGAGTTGGTGTCCTTAAGGCAGACTTTAGGGGTGCGATTGTATCTCTTACCGAACTGACCGCCCTGTAGAAGGTATCAAGTGTTACTTCTAAGTTATCATTGGTAAAGTATTCATCCCAGTCAGAGCTTCTCAAGAGCGTTGGTAGGAATTCCCAGTCGGCATTTCTATAGTCCCTATATTGATAGTGAACCGGAGAATTTTTAGGTGTGTGTTTAGTTGTTAGTTGAAGAGGTAGGGTGCAGTACAGTATGTTGTGATCACTGTTATCGAGTTTATTTCCTACCTCTATCGAGATGGGCTCTATTTCATAACAGAGGATTAAGTCAAGAGTATTTGTGTTTCTTGTAGGGAGGCGTACGCACTGCTTCCATCCGCCTACGTCTATAGCTTGTAGTAGCTCGTCATGGATTCTAGGTCCTGTACATGTATCCCAGTTTACTCCAGGTAAGTTGAAATCGCCACAGACTACTTTGTAGTCAAAGTCCAGCGTAGCTACATGCTCTAGTATTTCTCCAATAGTTATACCAGTCATTCCAGGGCTATTAGGAGGTCTGTATATACATCCCACGAGAATTTTATTTTCATTCGTGTGGATGCTTATCCACTTAGATTCTGGGAGTTTGTCGATAGTTAGGTTTGTAAAAGTATTGGGGTCAGTAGATTTAGAAGCATATATTAGACACTCGCCTCCTCTTTTGTCCACTCTGTCATTCCTGTGGATGTCATAGTTATCAGTTAACAGCTTTGTGTCAGGGATATCATTAGTTAGCCAAGTTTCAGTTACTAGGATCAGTGTTGGCCGTTCCATGTATACCGAGCTGCGAAGGGAAGTTATTTTGTTAAGGAGAGATCGAGTATTTAAGAGCATAATTTTTAGAAAACCAGTTTTTGTTGGGAGGGTAATTAGTGGGTTTTCTTGTTACTATCCCTAACTGCTGGTTGCCTATGTTATGTTCGGAGGGATTCTCAGATGAGACATTGTCAGCGTGTCTACTATTCCCTGAACAAACTGTGCTGCAAGAGGGGCTATTGTTTGCTGCAATCGAAAATAATCCTGTTGCATATATTGGTTTCTGGCCTCATTACGTGGGTATCTGGAATCATTCCTTGACATTAGATAATCTGTTTCACTGTTCAGATTGTTATTTACAGGGCCGAAATAACCTGTTTCTAGGTTGTTTTGAGGGTAGTGCGTGCTAAGTCTTTCGCAGTTGTACATTTGTGGACTCATTTCGTACATGTACATAGAAGGAGGGTGAGTCAATCTATACCCGTTATGCCGATGGAGCTTTACGTAGCTACTACGAGGGTTCGAGTATGCATTTCCGTCCATATGGTACCTAGTGGTGTCCCGTCTAGTAGCCCATGTGTTTTGATTATTTATTCTGGGTCCCGTTCTCAGGTTATATGAGCCTATAGGCATATTACAACCGAGGCTATTACGAAAATTGTGAGTCTCACTCTGCTGTTTAATTAGCTCGGCTCCTCTTGCGTGTCTGCTAGAGTGTGATTTTGTGTGGATGGAGCTATTTTTGCTGTTAGTTTTGACCTCGTGTAGTCTGTCATCAACAGTTTGTCTACTACTCTTAGTTCGACGAAGAGCACTTCCACTCTCGCGTTCCGTCTCCTTTATGGGACCTGCCGTAATGCGTGCATAGCTCTTTTTTAGGCTTAAGTGCTGCTTGTTGGGCTTGTCACAAGGGAGATATGTGGACGCCTGTGGAGAGACCTTGGTTTTAGGGGACTTCTTTTCAGCTTTTACAGTGAGATTATCTTGCTTGGCCCTGGGTGCAGTATTATCTGCCGATATTTGTAGGTTATCTGTAGCGGAAGCATCTATGTCTACCTCATGTGCGGGGTCGGTAGCTTTCCTAGGAGTGTTCTCGCGAACTTCGAGACCCATTCTAGTGTTACTGCCCCTTTTGGGTTTCCCTTCACCTTCTCATTTCGCTTGTTCACCTAGTACAATGCAAATGTCACTTTGTGCTTCAGTGTCCTTCGATACTTCGGCACTGATGCTATTCATGATTTGTGGTATAATCTTCTTCGTATCTAAGGTATTTTTAGCTACTTGTCGTTGGTTGGGGGTTTTGTCCGAGACTATTTTAACATTTTTGAATTTCGTAGTGGAAGCCAAAGTAT